ACAATCTGGTTATCCTACAGTCAGCCATACACGAGTCCTTCGCAAATCGACACAAGGTTATAGCCATCTTTTTCGATATTCGTCGAGCATTCAATACAGTTTGGAATCGCAACGTATTGGAAGAGATGAAAAATTGGCATATCCAAGGAAATTCACTTGCTTTTATAGAAAATTTCTTGAAAAATAGATCCTTTTCTGTGAGAGCTAATGGCATAAACTTTGAGAAAAAGTACCACAGAAATGGAACCCCTCAGTGATCATCACTCAGCGGCACCCTCTTCCTCATAGCCACCAACGACATCTTGAAGAATATCAAATCACCAGTCAAAGGGCTGGTATACGCGGATGACCTAGTCCTATTTGTCAGTGGCAGAAATATAAACACATTGGAGTCACTTCTTCAGGAGTCGATATCAAGTCTGGAATTATGGTCCCTCAATAAAGGTTTCCAATTTTCACCAGCGTAGCTAAATGCCTCATATTTTCCAAACAGCAAGCAACTAGTTTTCCAAACTTCACACTTAATGGACAGCAGTTAGAATTCGTTGAGGAAACGAAGTTTCTTGGGATGACGTTTGACTACAAACTGAATTGGAACGCTCATATTCGCAATGTTAAGAAATCTTGTTAAAATGGTTTGAACCTAATGAAGGTCTTGTCAAATCACACCTGGGGAGCGGACTGCAATACTTTGTTAACCATCTATCGGGCGCTAATAAGATCTAAAATAGACTATAGATGTATTGCCTACTCTACTGCAAATAAGTCAGCTCTTAAACAGCTGGATGTCATTCAACATGCCGCCATTAGGATAGCCTTAGGAGTATACCGTAGTAGTCCAGTGGAAAGTTTACTTATCGAAGCAGGAGAACAGCCTCTCGATCTTTGCCGTGAATACATGACCCTGACTTATGCTGCAAGAATTTCTGGTAATATATACAACCCCGCCTATCACTATACCTTCAGTAACAGATTTCCCCTTCTTTTCAAAGTAATAAAGGTGATTCACCACTCTACGCAAAAATGTCAAAAATTCCTAATAATCCTGTAGTCCCTAATAATGTCATGTCACTTGGTTTCTGCTCTCCACCACCATGGATCATAAAGATCCCATCCTGTAACACCCAACTCTCCACCCACAGGAAAAATTATATCACACCAAGTTTTATCCAAAAAACTTTCTCTGAAATAATCTCCAACTTCATAGAATACAAACACTTATACACAGATGCTTCGAAATCTTCTGATTGTGTGTGATACGGAGATTGCCAACCGTCTGCCGCCAATCTGTGGTGTTTATACAGGTGAATTATACGACATAGATCAAGCCGTAGCACACTGTGAAAGACTGGAAGGCAACTCTCTTATTATCACCGATTCTCTCAGTGTAATTCATGGAATCAGACAGTTATACCCAAGGAATTCACTACTTGTCCGTATAAAGGAAAGGACATCCAAGCTAATGCCGAATCAAAAATGTATTAAACTAATCTGGATACCTTCCCATAATGGAATCAGAGGCAATGAGAAAGCCGATGCATTCGCTCGCAATGTTACAGTTACCCCTTCCGCAACACTGTTTGAACAAATTTCCCACTCAGATTACTTTAAAATCATAAAGAAACTAATAGCAAACACTTGGAAAGAAGGATGGATGGCCATGGAATCAAATAAATTACGTGGGAGAAATCCCGGCATGCGCTTCCAGAACTACCAATCAGCCCAACGAAGACATCAGGTCATTCTTACTCGCCTTATGAAGAAAGAATATGCTGCGGAGTGTGATATTTGTGGTGTGATCAACAGTGTGAAACACATTATCCTGGAGTGCCCAGTTTTTGAAAATGAAAGACAAGAAGCAAGACTTCCCAGTGATCTCAATTCTGCCCTAGACGTGGTGAACTTTGAAGATTCATATATCAAAATTTTCGCATCTTTCAGTCAACATCTGGATACTAGAGCAAAAAGAAAAATATTCAACATTCGTCATATTGACTCTTTACGTGTAAAATATCTCCTATGTCACAAATAGACTGCTAAATATTCAAACATATTTAATAAGCAGTTATGCTAATTCAATTTGGGAGCTTTCGAAGTCCATTTTTGAAAATGAAACTTTTTCCGAAAAACTAAAGTTGAGTTACAGTAATATTTTATTAGCAATATCAAAGCCAAAGGTACAATCAAAACTGAACTCAAACTAAGAAAAACTCTTATTTGTAATATCGAGCAAGCTTGGGTAGAATTGCAGCGTCTATTGAATTCCTGGTATCCAGCGTGAGATACTCAATGTGAGTGCACTCCGGGAAATGACCTTGGCTATATCTCCAACATGGGTAGTCCATACATAACATGTTAAAATAGTTATTTGAACAAAAAATATATCGAAATATACTAGTTTATGTCAATTTCGGTACCTAACTCCATAACTTGACTTCAAAACAACATTTACACCACATCCAACGTGACTTTATATTGAACTATATGGAGAACGCCTTCCGACTCTGACTTCGAAACGACCTTCTATCTTCGATTTTGAAATAACTTCGACATCACACTAACCTAGATGACTTTGGATTTGACCTTAAATGACCTTTAACGTCCTTGGAAAGGTGTGTTAATAGCCTTGACATCACACAGGCAGCGTAACTTTATGTATAATCTAAAACAACTTTAAGGGCATCATTCGTCTTCAATGTCGAAGAAGTTGACGGCAACTAACTTGATGCCACTATGAGGGTGGCAGCTCGATCTTCAACTATATATTATTCTTCTGGTGACTTCTGATATTCGTTTTTGGTTTGACTTTGAACGACCTTAAGTGATGTCATTGGTGACATTGAAGCCGCTTCTCAAACGGCTTTGAGTATGCCTTCTATTTTCGATTTAGAAATGGATTCGACATCACACTAACCTAGATGAATTTGGATTTGACCCTAAATAACCTTAAATAATAAAATAACGCCCGTGCAAAGGTGTGGCCTTAATATCACAGAGGCAGCATAACTTTGTGTCTGATCTGAAACGACCTTGAGGACATAATTCGTCTTCATTTTCGAAGAAGTTGACGTCACCCAACTTGATGCTTTGGCAATTCAATCTCCAACTATGTATTATCGTCCTGGTGATTTCAGAAATTAGTTTATGGTGTGACTTTGAACGACCTTTAGCGATGCCATTGGTGAGATTGAAGACGCACAGCAATTTATCTCTTCCCACCCTCAGTTCACTGTCGGTTGTACTGAATATTTGTGCAAAAATGTTTTACTGTGGTAGGTGTAGTAAAAATTTCAGCCTTAACAATTGAATGCGCGGTAATCAGATGCAGTCCTGCAGACCGAATGATGGTGGTCCTTCAGCAAAACAGGCCAAAGTGGAATCTACCCTATCAACTCCAATTCAAGAATTATGCGGTTGTTGATAAATTCACCCCAACTCATCGGCAGTAATGAATACGCATACGTTTCTCCAAGTGACATCATAGCTTCTATTGTAGTGGTAATACTTAGGCATTCGAACAGCCTCCACATTCCAGGGTGATTTTGCGTTCCTTCCATATAAATATAGTTAGTTGTCTGCCATATCGAGTATTGAATTCTGAAAACTTCAGTGCTGCAGCATATCTCGCAAAGACTATAGTTAAGAGTACACGCAATCGAAATTCGAGGAACCCAAAAAATATCATGAAAAGAAATGTCAAAGGGTCTTCTCTAGTGGACACGTCATCTTCCCAAATGACAACTTCAGAAAATTGTCCATATGAAAGAGTTCGGAATTTGCTTCGAATTGAAACTCAGGAACTCCAAATGGGTGTGATTGACATAATTTATCGATGACAACTTCGTGTTCAAGGAAAATGGTACAACTTTTGGTAGTTTAGGGTGCTCCAAAACCACATACAAAAACACTGTATTAGGAAATGATAGTAATCTAAAAAAATGAAACAAAACTGAATGAAGAAGCTATTTTGGAACTTTCGAAATGATGTACCCATGAAACAATCTTTCAGTTCAGATAGGATTTTTAACAACATGAATTTGGAATGGTAATGGGTTCCCTCTAGTTACCGATTCTGAGTAACATTTTGAGAGACCATAAACGGAAACTTACCAGAATGGCCCAATATCATGGTGGAAATATGTTGATGATGTATTCGCTATCTGAGACCATAAATTCTTTGCATGAACTACACATCTTTGTATAGAGTTTATTTTGGAATTCATTGCTTTCTTTCACATTTTTTTGTATGAAGATGGGAAAATAGAAAGCTCAAACCATTCTTTCCCAAACATCATTCTCTCCTGAAAATATACTTTTTTCTATATAAATAAATATTCACGAAATTACATTCAGAAAATATTTCAGATCTGAAATGAATTTTTATGGAGATATACTGGGATTAACGGAGACAGCATATAAATATATTGAGAGAAAACAAAGCGATAAGAAATAAGTATTTGACGTAATCTCACCTTATCCAATGAAAAACTGCTTGAGAGTCCAACTAAGAAAGGAATAGGAAGAGTTCTAACTCTGGAAACATATAGCAGAAATATTATATCTATTGGAATGAACTGGAGGAACTGATTGACTGCCTTCAAATACTTTCGATTTCAAGAACGACTGGATACATCAAACGCGGTAATGAGAAATAAAGTTTTTGACTTTTTACTTCTCCATCTTTATAAAAAAAATATGAAACTTGCAAAATCCTACTGAAAAAATTCAAAGGTGTATATTATTACCTACTAAGAAAGTTATAGTAAGAGTACTATTCCAGAAAATATTCAACAGAAATAAAAGTTTCTATTATGTTTATTGGAATAAACTGAAAGAAGTGATTGGTCGCCTGCGACTGCTTTCGATTCCAAGAATGATTAGATATACCAAATACAATAATGGAAAAAAGTTTTGGCTTTCTATACTTCTTCATTTTTATAAATAACAATGTTTGTAAGTGTTCTACATTTTTTATTAAGATGGAGAAGTAGAAAATCAAAACTTTTTTCCCGAAAATCAATCTCCAATAAAAACATGCTCCCTTCAATTTTAAAAATATTTTTATCACTGAAATTAAATCAAATGAGCGAATAAGTGTAATTACGCACTGTCATTGTGACATGAGTAAACCACCACCTTAACAGTTTACAACAAGTTTTATCATTAAAGAGAATTGATATGAATAACACAAAGAAGCAGCTTGGGAAAAAACTATAGAAACCGGCTCGGAGATATTTTTCTTGAAGAAATACAGTAATGTGGCAGTTATATTCAATGACAATGCAATCATTAGCTGAAGATAATGAGGGTTGTTGGTACATAATTCATTTCTAATTTCAATATTTTTCATACTTTGTTAGAAAGATACCCACATACAATAAAGAATAAATCACTCTTTAGGAGTGATTAATTTTTAAGAAAGAAACTGTTTGGCTTTCTTCTACTCCATCTTGATACAAAAAATTTGGGAATGTTCTCGTTCAATCATATTCCTAGTATGGAGAGAAGGTAGGGACGTGGATACTACCTCAAACCCCACAATGTCTTGTATATACCAACAACAAAAAATGTGGACTTCTAGAAACCGGTTGAAGAGAACATTATGCTACTACGTCCGTGACTCTCATTCATAAGTCGCTCCGTGCTCACTCGTTTATTCCCCTCACTAGCCTCCATAAGATATCGCTTAGTCGATGAATGCTCTATCCGCAGGTCTTCATCCTATTAGGTGGTTTGAAACTTCATATTCACCTATTTTCACCTTGAGTCCTAACTTCAGCTAATGAGCAAATACTTCAATCTCCAATGGCCACATTTTTTTCGATGTCCACCTTCCTGACATCACTTTTCCCGATTATGGCCAACTTTTGCCTTTTCTGTCAACAAATTCTTTCAAGTTCCTGGATATCCTGAATCATTGTTCATTGCGACAATGAAGGTTTCTCCAAATCGTCCTTCTTATCATTCCATTCTCATCATTGTAGTTATAAGCACCTGTATTACTTTTTAACATACGTAGTTAACCCTGTAAATGGTTTTTAACTGTTGGATAATTATTATTATCATTATTATTATTATGAAATTCGATTACTGTCGTAGCACTAAGCACAAATCTAGTCCTTTTATTTACATATAAATCTTATGTGATATTCAGAATTTGGAGCACTTAATTCATTGCACCTAATTGGATGAGTCTAATTTTGACGAAAATGTCATTTCTAGAGATGTAGAATTCCGAATTGAGGAGTATCGAATAATTAACATACCATTAAAATGAAAAAACGTTGATTTCTGAATGGTTTCTCTATCCACTACTGACTTCGTATTGCTAACATCTACCTAAATAAAATTACCGACCTTACATGGGATATCCTTTGACCTAGATATGAATTTTCCAATAGGTAGTTTCCGAGATACCTACAAAAAATTACATTTCCACACCGACTTTCAACATCTTGTATCTTCGAATAAGTAGTTTTGAACATATGTCTGTTTTTATCAAAAAAGTTCACTGGCTGAAACTAATGACAGTTCTCATGAGTTATAGTCTGAGTCGCATATCAGGCGGAGAATAACTGAAATGATTTCATTCTTTGATAATGATCATACATTTCCACAATGAATTTTATTCAAGACGCTACATTGTAGCTTACTTGGTATTCCTGAATCATTTTGTTTCGGTATTGAAAATCATATTAAATAAAAATTCATTTTGAGATTCACTTACAAATTTACTCACCATGAGAAGCAATGAAAATAAAGTTATGGTGTATCCCAAGCAAATTACTCTTCTATTTATATATGGCTCATTTGTTTCTGTTACTGGAGAATATTTCATTCGTTTAGCATTTTCTATATATTCCGGCCTATAACAAATTTATTAAACGATCAATCGCTTCAAATTTTGATATCGTAACCACCTCAACATTGTTTCATTTTCGAGTGACTTCACATTCCAAACTAATTGGAGTACAGACTGATTTCTTTGCCAGAACTCCATGAAGATAGTTGCTAAAAATAAATAAAATGTGCTAGTTAATGATGTTGAAAATATTTGTGATGTTCTCTCTCAGTTCACCTCGAATGAACATGCAAATATTTTAGAACTGGATGAAGACAGAAGAAAAAGATAATCATCAGTCTCAAGAGTGATGAAAGAGCACACGCCTTATTCGGAATAGACAAATGTGGATAATCTCGAAAGAGCGATGTAGGAAATATAGCTGGTATAAGGGAGCAGTAGAGTGCTAATGACGATTCTGAACCTCCCCCACTACCCCTCACCACTAACTTTGACCTTGACCTTGAAACCCCTTTTCCACTCTACGCCCATGACTTAGCCTTGAGTTGTATGTGACGTCATATAACTTTGAGATACATCATGAACGTAAAACCTCCTTTTCAGTCTCCGCCTATGATTTGAACTCGGAAGTCGCGAAGATAACATCACCTTGGGTAGCACGTAACATATCCTTGGAAATTACAGCTGATTCTGGACCTCCTAACACCAATAATGACGTTGTATGGCATATGGCCTTGAAGTTTTTCGTGCAGTTTCAGCTTTTGTGTGCTGATAATTCAAATCTCATGTGCTCACCGGCTGCTACTACATACTCGGACGCCACAAGACCACCTTTTCTGAATGTTGTTGAAGGTAGATGCCAGGAGGCCTCCTGAAGGTCCTTTCGTTGTCATTGTGAAGTCATAATTGAAAAAAGCCCTGACGATTCTGCGAGTTAACAGAGGGAACTTTGAAACTTAGATGGAATCATGAAAATATAAAGAGGATATAGTGGAGAGTTCTATTGCGAAACATAATTGTGGAAGAACATTTCATTTTCACCTTTCAACATACCTTTATTTTACATGAGGCGATCAATACTTTTGGTGTGGAAAAAATCGCCGTGGAGTGAAACTAGTAATATATTTGGATGTATGTATTGTGCTGAATAGACTTCAGTTTCGGTAGTTCGATTCCACTGAAAGTGGTATCATGCAATGGTCTGGATAATGAGAACCATAGTTGAATATTTTCTGATTCCAACGTGGCTTATATAACGTATTTTGATTGCTAATAGAGTAAGAGACCAACGTGAGTACCTACTCATTTCATTTCCAAAATAGCAAACCAATAGAATAAACGCCGATGTGAAGGAAATTGTTAAAAATCACATCTCAATGTCATGTAGGATTACGTGAAGGTTGAAATTAATATAGACAACCTCATCGTGATGATATAGGCAAAATTCCTAGAATTCCTAGAGAGACAATGAATAATTGAAGAAAAGGTAGGAATCACAGGTATATTCACTATGATAATGATAAATTCATGTTGAAAAAGACAGAAAATTTGAATGTGCAGAGTAAGTTCTGAAGAAACGAAAGAGGAGGTGAAGTCATACCAGGGATAGGTATGTGATGAGTAAATGAATGTTATACAGGTGTATTTGGTGTAATTGATGAGAAAATGAAGTACAACCACTACCTGTCAGCTCTTTTGTCACTGTCACTGACCAAACGCTAATCGAGAACGCCTACTATGAAAAAAAAGAATGTGATGGAATCGGCCTATACTTGATGAAAATTCATTACATATTCAAGAAAAACTTCATTTTGTTTCGCTATACAATAAATTCTTCAGGCGTGTTCATCCTCAGGCGTGTCTATATAATGAATGATCTACTAGACATTCAATATTCCTTTATTGTTATCTCCAGCAAAACCCATGAGGTACATGAGTGATGGTTTTCCGCAGAATTCATGGCTGACGGGGTCCAATAAAGACACGCCTGAAAAAGTTATTGTATAGCAAAAGACGTGTTGCGTTTTGTATAACACTTCAGTAAAAATTTCACAATGAAATGTTTCTTCAATAAAGCAAGAATAAACTGGTATAACGTAAAATTACGACACAGGTATGCGGTATCTGTCAGGGGCTTCGATATGAAATAAGATCCAGACAAACCATATCTGATATACATTCAGGGTCTAAATGTTAACCGTTTTCCTCATGTTTGTTTTTTTCTGTGAAATGTCACGGCACATTCATAATTTCAAAATTCTATATATTTCTCACCATCAATATAATCTACATAATTAATTTGATTGTAATAGATATTCAATTTATACTTATATATTCACTGTCGCCCAACTCCTTTTAACAAATTATCTATTAGGAATTTCCGTTGATAATCGAAATTGTTTGCGTATTTTCAGTACTAATCTAATATTTTTCGCCTAGTTGCCTTCAGCCTGATTACTTCCATACAGACATAGGTTGTCGAAAAAACACGACTGTGGCATTGGTCCTGCTCTTGAATTTTGAACTACCTATTCCATACTTGCCCGTTCAGTCTACGCTACTCGTCCAAGAGTCTGCATTTAGCTCAGATATCGGAATTATATAATATGTGGGAGGATCCAAAGCAAAGCATATCTGAAGTACCATCGCTGTTGATAACCACTGTTCACCGTTGCCCTTATACTTGATTTTCTACCCCGAGCCTACTAGATTCCTCCAACCCCAAAGTTTTTCGTCTATTCATATTGCCTTTTCAAAAATGATCAAAGTGACAATTTGGTAGATGGATTCACCTCTGCATGCTTGATATCAATGGTACGATGATTTTCTTTAAATAAATTTGAATACATTGAAGAATAATACGTTTCAAATCAATTGACCAACCTATAACTGGTGTGGGACGGTATCCGGTTGGATCGACGTGAGTGGTTTGTTCCACTCATTCATCGGGTCGACGTGAGTACAGTGTTGCCACAAGCTATTTTTCCATCGAGGTAGATTTCTGGAAGGGAGCAGGGTAGAACCGGGGTGGATCCACATTCACATGATGACACCAATCACAGTGACGCATTGACGTATACCTATGACTGCCTTTCTTTGTTCTACGATAAATTTGACGATCGTAATAAAAATATAAGTCACATGTCATCGCATCCAAATTTGGGATATTTGTGTTTTCAAACCATTTCTCGATAATATTATCTTCCATGTCCTTACGATAGTCAAAATTGCAGTCCTCAAGTTTTTTCCATATAACTTCAAAGAATTCGGATTCCATCGTTTACTTTCTCCGCAATGCACAATGATTAGTTGCTAGTAGTTGTTAGACAACGTCTCATATATTTAATCTGAAAGGGAATATTTTTGTTCTATCTATAAATTTTACAAAGTCCACTCAATGAGACCTCGAATATAAATAGGGTTTCACATTTATTGCATTCTATTCCTATGATAATAATTCAAATATATCTGTAGGTCAAAATGAGTTTCATTACACCATAACATCATGGAATCATTTTTCACGAAACCAGGATATAATATCAAAACTAAGAGTATCATTACGGAAAATGAATTTTTTATAATATACTTACAATGAATTTGTCAAAAATTGTATGTGTTTCTTCTATATTTATGAAGATTTAGTGGAATTGAGTTCAATAGGATACAATAAGTGTCGAATAATATTTTCATTCGAGGACTAAACGAATAGAATCTGTGAAATCTATAGATGAAACAAAAACAATATCTCTCAGAGTAGATGTGTAAGATGTTTTATAACTACAAGGAACCCCTGCTGCACTCAATGCTGTTGAGGNAGCGGAATTGTATGTCCTGATATTATTATATCCGGTTCGGAAACATTTATCTTTATGGTCAGTAGTTGACGAAAAACTTTTTTTTGGGAGTGGTTATATTTATTTTTTCCTCATTATGTTAGTTAATATACCTAATATATGTTCATTTTCACTTGAAGATCACTGTCGTTCCATGTTAAATTATACCATAACATTATTTCATTTTCTCTTGTATATCCATGATGTTCATACCATACATCCTGAACAACTGTTACATCTTCACGTATTCGAAATCCGCAGGGAGTCTACTGATCTATTAGAATCTTTTTCCCTTTAAGAATATTATTCATTACATAAGATAATTTGGCCGATTTTGAATTGTTTCGAATACATCTGATACTAAAATCATGGATAAATAGAAACGGGTATTGTGCTCAGAAAAACACACTTTATTTTCTATAATCATATCATAATAAACCAATTCAGATGAAGGGAACACATCAACTCTAGAGTCACGGAACATTGAACAGGCAATAAAAGGTTGGTTATTCAATTGGCTTCATCTTGGAAAGAGAACCATTCCTTATTATATGCTTCTAGTCTGACGTTTTTCAGTCATCATCGCTCTCCTGGAATGCACAGTCACTTCATTCTCCACATTGAAGTAATTAAACTTAAATATTTGCTCATCCATTTCATCCGTATTTAAACTAATCGATATATTTTATTTTATGATTTTCACTATTAAGGGTTTTACAAAAACCGCGACATGTATTCTGCTATACGATAACTTTTTCAATCATCTGTATTTTCCTCACAAAAACTGAATTGCC